CAAAAACTTACCAAAGAGGACGTCTACAAAATTAGCCGAGCTGGTGTCCCCATGAGTTTTGTATTTTTCAATATAAACCCTTCTGATCACGTCCATTGGGGAAAGAACTGCCATGAAAACCTGAGTAGAATGTAACACTTTAGAAGAAAGTACCGGCATGTAATTCCTCTATATACTAATGCTGTTGTTTTAGCATTAAAATTCTCCTGCTGTGAACCTACAGCTAATTTGATGTTTGACTTCAGACATAGATTTGCACTTTGTAGCATTCAAAAACTCTTCCACGATATTTATGAGATCCGTTCTTATCACACCCGATCTTCTGCCCCTAAGAAATTTTATAAACAAAGCTCTTGATTTTCAACTCGACCGCTGGCACTCTTTTCCCAGAATTGGAGAGAATAGCACTCGAGCTACCTGTGGGCTGGAAACTTTTAATCTGTCTCGACTGTAAGAAATAAAATGCATTTATGTATGTAGATATGTATGAGAAAAGAAATCCAACACAAAAACAGTAATGAGCGTGGTAAACTATGACCACGGTGACGATGACCATGGAGATAGTGTAATTCACTCCCTAAGCAAGTCGCACAGTCAGTCAGTCAATCAATCATTCTGCCATCACAGTATTACCAAAAGCGAAAGCAAATATACAATAGTTAAAACGATACAAATTATCCAACTAACCTGAAGGATCATTAAAGCGCTAACCAAAGTTGTTGAAATGAATTGCGTCGAAAATTTGAAATCTAAAAATGAAATTCAGATGAAGTTAAAAAACAAATTTTAACAACAAACGACTGGGTGTCATTTAATCCATCTCCTTATTCAAATGGTTCCTGTTCGTGGCTCAGACATGGCGCGAACAAAACATCTTTACCTTTCCTTGGTTTGTAGAAACAATGAAGCAGCGTTGAAAACCAGTTTAATCCAACCATATTCCCCCTGTTTGAAGCAACACAAAAAGAAATTATACCACCGATCCCGAGTAATTAGATAATCATTATCATCTGAATAAGCTTCTGCAAAAACGAAAGAAATGTGTCACTTTATTTATTCATAACTCATGTAGGCATCAATCCCACGTTTATGTTATCGTTGGTTATCAATGGCAGCTCTTTTCTTTACGTACACGTTCTTTTCAACCGAACATGACAGCCTTACACGTAGGCCAAAGGAATCAAGACTGATTGGAACGCTTTCCAGACCAATCACAAAGAGTAATGAGTGAATTGAAAGATTCCAGTATAAATCTAAAAGCGTTCAGTCAAAAGTTCTGCAGTCTGATTGGCTTTGCTAATCCTTCACTAATTAACAATAAGAATGCAAGATTTCTATTTGAGCAACAGACCGAACTTTCTATCGGTGTACCGGCATAGTAACCTACTTGAGTTGTTGGGAGAACACGACAAAAGTTTGTAAATCACTCGCCCCAGGCTCTTTATTAACAAATTTTTCCCGAGTTCTTTTAACATCCCAAGTGGGTTTTCACGCTGGTAAACCAATAAAAATTGGG